CACACACACACACACACACACACACACACACACACACACACACACACACACTACAACTGTGTTTTCAGAATCGATTAAGTCACTTATCAAGCAAGAACACGAACCATGTTGTTTCCAGCTCATAGTATTTCCACTATAGTTAGAACATTTTGGGGTTTGGATGTTTAGCGAGACAAAAATAGTTATATAAAAATGTAAATATTGGAGATTTTTGGCACTTGTAAAGCAATCTTAAGGAATCAGGAGATCAATTAAGTGTTTTGGTGAACGATTGTATTTACCGCACCGAAGTTTACCTCGATTAGTAGTTTGGTCTACAAATACCAGAAAATAGTCAAATGTTTCCTAGATCCACACAGATGCATATGCACAGAGTTTCAGGTCGGCCTCCTCACCTCTCTCCTTTGTGTGTTTCTTTTCCCTGCAGAGCCTCCTCAGGTGATGGTGGAGCTGCAGCAGCGGGAAGTCGTGTACGGCGACACGGTGCGCTTCATCTGCCAGGCCCGCGGTAAGCCCGCTCCCTCTGTGATGTGGCTCCACAACGCCCAGCCGCTCGCCCAGTCTTCTCGCCACCGCCTCACCTCCCGGGGGCTGCGCATCTCCAAAGTGGGCCCCCGGGATGACGGGCTGTACCAGTGCATGGCTGAGAACGGGGTGGGCAGCTCACAGGCCTCCGCTCGCCTCATCACCGTATCAACCGGTGAGTGGGTTCAGTTTGGTAATTGTTGATGATTTTCTTTTATTTCACAGATGTTAGATGTCATCCTTCTTGTTTCGTTACAGGGACTTTATCCCGAGGGAGGCTGCCTTCCATGTACCGCCCGCTCAGCCCAGACAAGGTGCTGAGAGAGCAGCCGCCTGTGAGGCCGGGGGTTGCAGGTGCCATGTTGCCTCTAGACTGCTCAGAATTTCCAGGGTACATGCCTGCAGAAGCCCCCATCATCCTCAGTCAGCCACGCACAGGCAAGGCTGACTATTATGAGCTCACCTGGAAGCCGCGGCACGAGCATGGACCTCCTGTACTGGAGTATATGATAAAATACAGAAAGGTACTGCAAGAAGCTCATCGTCTAAACTTTTTAGAGTCACACATGTGTTCTTGTGTTAGTAACTGAGCCTGCTCTGCCTCTCAGGTGGGAGAACTTCTTGCAGACTGGACCTCCACCAGTATCCCGGGCTCTCTCCATAAGCTGACTCTATCCAAGCTGCAGCCGGACAGCTTGTATGAGGTCGAGATGACTGCCAAGAACTGTGCAGGGCTGGGACAACCAGCCATGATGACCTTCAGAACCGGCAAAGGTACAACAACAACTGTTATCCTACTAGATTCCTTCAGTCTTCGCGCCAGGTGCTTTTTTTTTTTCATGCCCGGTACTTGTGGTCAGTTCACATCAGCGTGCTGCTGCATAATCTGCCTGTAAAAAAAAAAAATAGTCCCCAAGAAATTCCCTTATTTGTTCCGTTTTGAGTCATGTTTGCTAAACACTGAGGCACTTTAAGGTAATCATTATTTTGACAGCTTTAAACACATCTTAACTTTTGACTTCTCAGACTCAGGGAGTCAGAAAGTGACACCAGTCCTTTCCTTTAAAAATGACTTGGAGTACATTTCTTTAAGATGATGTGGTGCCTTATCTCTTTTGTCCACAGGTCGCAAAAATCTGGGAGTGTCAAATGATCCTCCAAAGACTCCCTCTGTCCCCTCACCAAGCCTCTCTCGTAAGCTCTCAACAGTCCTGTGTATTACTGAGACAAACTCCTCTCTGATTAACAATACTAATAAATCTATTACTTTGATTATGAACAGAGCTAGATACAGTTTCACCTTCTCCTTTCACTAACAAGTCTCACTTTCTCTTGCATTTCTGTTCCCTGAAGGATGAGCTCCCAGTAAGTCCTGAACGTGACCGTTGTTGAACTTTCTCTCACTAGTTTGAGTATATTGTCCCTGTTTGTAGCTTCCATTTGACACTCTTCCCTGCTTTTCTTCAGCTCCCGAAGCCCCCGACAAGCCCACGGTCTCCACAGCGACTGAGACGTCGGCGTACGTGACTTGGATTCCTCGCGGTAACCGCGGCTTCCCCATCCAGTCGTTTCGGGTGGAGTACAAGAAGGTGAAGAAGGCAGGAGAGGACTGGGTGACGGCGGTGGAGAACATCCCCCCGTCGCGACTCTCCGTGGAGATCACGGGCCTGGAGAAAGGTCAGCCATCTTCACACCCTCTTTTCAAAACCGTAGCGTTGTTGCTCAAAGCTGTTTACTCTGGCTCGGTGGGGGGAGCAGTAGGACATGTCGTACCATATCATTACAACAATGATGTCCACATAATTGCATTCCCGTGGTCTGCAAAATTTATCACCATAATGAGTGTTGTTTCAATCATCTCAGTAATTGTTGCCATCAGTCAAAAGCACAGCACAGCATCGCATTTGCTCAAAGAAAACAGACAGTAAAGTGAAAACAAGCCTCATTAATCAGCACAACAATGGGAAAGCGTCACTGGCTGGTTGTAATCCCAGAGATGAACAATGCCCGTTCATCTCCCTGTAGGTACGTCCTATAAGTTCCGTGTGGTAGCGGTGAACGTGATTGGTTCCAGTCCTCCCAGCGCCCCTTCCAAGGCATACACGGTGGTTGGCGGGAGAACACACGAACGCCCCGTCGATGGACCCTACATTACCTATAATGAGGCCATCAACGAGACCACCATCATTCTCAAATGGACGGTGAGTGTCCAGAAGGAGATTGAGGATTTCAAAAACAAGCTTGCAGTGATTTATAATGTGATTTATTCTCCCCCTCGACAGTACACTCCAGTAAACAACACGCCCATCTACGGTTTCTACATCTACTACCGGCCGACAGACAGCGATAATGACAGCGACTATAAGAAGGATGTGGTGGAAGGGGACAGATACTGGCACTCGATTACGGACCTGCAGCCCGAGACCGCCTACGACATCAAGATGCAGAGCTTCAACGAGAAGGGAGAGAGCGAATTTGGCAATGTCGTCATCCTTGAAACAAAAGGTGAGGTGCTTTGTTGGCGAAAGCTTGTCGCAGTCAGTCGGTCTTGTCTTTTACAAAAGAGTTTCTTTGCTAATAGTTAAATTTTTTCCTCTTTCTCCTTTTTTCTACAGCTCGTCCTAACTCCCAAAAGCCTCTCCCATCAGAGACTCCCATTGACCCTCGGTATGGACCGCCCGATGGAGGCGTGCCTCGCCCCGGCGACCTCCCCTACCTCATAGTTGGCGTTGTCCTGGGAGCCTTCGTCTTCATTATTGTCGCCTTCATCCCCTTCTGCCTGTGGCGGGCTTGGGCCAAACAGAGTGAGTGCACTTTGCCGTTCCTCGAGTCTTTACAGGGATTAACGTCTTTCCCGTCCACATCCGTGTAATTCCTGTTTTGTCCTCATTTCAGAGCAAACAACCGACATGTGCTTCCCCGCTGTGGCCGCCCCCGTGTCGTCATGTCAGTACACCATGGTTCCTCTTCAGGGACTTGCATTAGTGGGCCACTGCCCGCTGGATACTCACATGACTGCTCCACATGGCGTGTACCCCGCCAACGGAGAATACACACCAAATGGCAAACCTCACCACCCTAAGCACTGCCTGCCAGGCCTCCAGCAGGTAAAAAAACAAAACTAGGTTTTATACTATCCACGAGTTTTTGTTTGAATATTTAATGTATGCTCGTCTGTCTGTGCAGGATGGTGTGGATTGTGATATGGAGTGTGACACGCTGCTGCAACAGCCCAATGGACACCTGCCTGTTTACCACTATTCTACCAGGTGTGTTTTCATTATAACACTTATTTACTTTTTAATGTACTGGACTAACACCGTAAAATAATTCTACCAATATGAACTGGTGACATTAAAAAAACCTTTTTGTCCTGATTTGATGAGCAAGAAAACTGAATTTTGACCAACAGGCTCAAGAATTTAAACTGAACACCTGGATAAACGTTGAAGAAATTTGTTGGCTGAACATCCCAAACGTCACAACTGGTATGGACAATAAAAAAAAAGTCTAATAAATATGTTTTTCTTGTTTTCTTCAGTGGCCCTGATCATCCTGAGCACTCCTGCTATTCTCCAGATGACTCCACTCTCCAGCTCCTCAACTCCCCACATCAGCTTTTAAACTCACAGGACGCGGGAGGTGACGGCGGCTTCTGTGGTGGAGACAAAACGGAGGACATCGCTCCAAGTATGTGAGGATGTCTCCATTAATATCTGCTCATAATGTTCTTCTTTTATTATCAACCAAACGAGCATCTTTTAAGGATGCCTTTGTTTTGGTGTTGTTGTTGAATCCTCCTGTCATCTTCTCACCATTCCTCTCTCTTTACCGCAGAGCCGGCATCTTTCCCGCTTCTCTCTCTGGAGGACGAAGGGATTTTCACCACATCCTCTTCAGCAGCCACAACGCCACAATCCCAAGATGCAGCTATACAGGAAGTGAACATCCTCCCAAATGAAGCGTCCCCCGAGGACGAGGGGACGGCCAGCGTGACAGATGCATGAGAGACTGTTAAATAAACCGTAAACAAAAAGAGAGAAAATATTTATTTTTGTATCACAGATATTTATATATTTATGCTTTTGTACATAAGTGTCCGATTATACTGTATATAAGGTTATTTTCATATTGAAAAGAAAGTGACTTTTTATTCATAGATCTCCTCACGCTATGTCACGGACAAAGGGAGTAGTATTTTGTCTTTTTGTCTGTCTGCATTTGAGACCTTTATTCCTTGTGTGAAGAAGAGTCTGGAGTCTCCAGGGACTTCCTCTCAGTTCAGCACTTCACAACTAAACCCTCCCCACCAATCATGTCTTTCCCAGCCTTCCTCCATCCTTAGTCTGGACCTTTTAGGTACTTAGCTTTACGTACAACAGAAACACAATCGGACCCAGTCTGATGCTGTCAAGAGGTGCTGTTTAGCTCTGCGATATCACGTTCTCGGTCATTTCTGTATAGCGGTAACACAAATGTATTATGCATTGTTCGTCATTAACAAACTATTAACAAGTGTATGCAACATAAATCATTGTTTCAGTAGTGTACAAGAGATTATATATTGTATAGTTTATTTATTTTGTTTTGGTATATTTTTTTTAAAATCACTGAATGGGAGAGATTCTGGAAAATGTCTTTAACTCAGTCATTGATAAGCTGAACTTTATACTGCAACCATTTCTGTGTTTACTTGTTTGCTGGTTACCAAAAGACTGCCAGGTGAGGCTGCTGCGACAGGTGTGTCAGTATTATTCCTCCCTCACTGGTCGGTACATAAGTGTTAGTCTTTGACAGAGACATCTGCAATCAAAATGAAGGAGATCCTGAATCTACACTCCCTTTTTTTTTTTTTCTTTTTAAAGTGTAGCTGTTCTGTGGTTGCACATGCTGGAGCACTATTGCATGTAAATAAATGCTTATGAAATTGAGTCGAGTCGTTTGTGAATCTTGAGCATTAGTTCTTTAAGCTTTTTAAAAGTCTTTCAGAAAATTTCTTTGGAAATTGGCTGCTTTTTTACTCATTTTCAGAGAAATGTTTTTGTTTTGTTTTTTGCTTGTCAAGCCACTTAACACTCATAATGAATCATCCAAACATACAAATGGGTGAACCAGGATTGTTCTACACACTTCTAATTTGAGCAAAAACTCAATTTGTTCACATTTCTTTAGTTGAATCCGGAACAAACTTCACCGATAACAGTTGACGGGTATAAAAGTTTTTTTTTCCATTAACAAAATGATTCCCAAAAAGCTGTTGACTGTAAAATGCATTTGCAAGACTCAGCAAGGTGTGCAGTGTTCTTCAAAAAAGTGAGGAAATTAGACAAGTGGAAAACAAGAAGTAACAGACCTAAAAACCTCACAGCAGATAAATATTTGGAAGTCATATCCTGAAGAAAGAGGAAGAAATGCACAAAGACCTGATTCCTGACCTGAGAGATACGTCCAGTCCTTTCATCCACGGAGTGTTTGCTGAAGCCTCATCATATTGTGAAGGTGGAAGGGTTCCTGTCATGAAACCATTCTTAAGGAAGGGAAACAGAAAAGGCTGCGGTTTGCCACATTACAGGACTGAAAATTAGTGTCAACAGGTCTGATGAAATGATGAATCCAAATCTAAAACTTTTGGTTTAATTGATCATCACTATGTATAGATCAGAAGAGAGAGTCAGAAGTGAGCGGCGGCAGGCTGTCGTTTGATCTAGAAAAATGTTTCAAATGCTGTCATGGACAAGAGAATAAAAAAAGCACACAGTTTTCCAGTTGGCAGCAAATACAAATGTCTCCTTATAAACTTTATTAATCAATCTTGTATTTACAAATACATACATAATCTAATAATTCTGATATTAAACATTGGTATTTACAAAATAGCTCTTGGAAAAACAATTCTGTACAGCACAACCTGATAAGTTAGTAAATTACATTAGTAGGTAACTGTGCAGAAGGTTTCTCAATGACCCAGGATACACTGAACTCAAGTTTTAAACCTAAAACTGATTTTGTTTTACTACCAGTCGGTTTAACCAACATTTTTACAACAAACTTTAAAGTGCCCCTGTTATGCTTTTAACTTTTTTCTTCATCATTCAATCCGTTTCATAATTTGACATGTTTGAAAAATCCACACCAAAGAGAATTAGAAAGGTTTTATGCAAAGGTCTCCCTGCGATGCCTATTAACGTCTCCCTGCAGAACAGGAAGAAGTATGATAAGGACAACTCAACCGTGATGTCCACAGCTGTCCATTCTCTCCCACAGAACACATGACTATTATTATTCCACTTAACACTTGACACCCATGTAACAAACTGGAATAATTTTGCCCATCCTTGAGGAAGGACAGAACGAGCAGTGACCTCAACTCAAAAATGGGCGATAACTCTAAAATGTCTCTTATCAGCAAAATACTCCAAATGCTTTACTGTAAGTCTCCAAGAAGTGCAAAATCACCATTTCAACAAGTGCTTCGTCACCACTTTCTGAACTCATTGAACATTAAAAGCTGCTCTGCACTAACAGCAAACACGCGTGGAAAAAACTCTCCAAGTTAAGAAAAAACAAGGCTTTGCCGTGATTTTGATCAAATTCAAACGTAGGATGATGTTAAAGTTAGAAGCGATGGCATGTTTTTATAATGTGGCTACGGCTTTCTGTTTGCAGATGTCAGCTTTTGAAGGGCTACGCCAGTTACATGTGAATTTGGTGGAGCTAACCATCCAGACCAGAATGGGCTCGTGGGAGTGTAGCCTCAAAAAGACAGCAGTGCACAAAGAGGCACACCTTTGCTTGTAGACCTACAAAATAAAATTAGGAGCCTATAAGCATAAGAGGGACACTTTAAAGACACACATTTCCATGTTCCTGTAAAATTATAAGATTGTTCAGATATTACAAATGATAACATTGGCAAACGCCAAAGGGAACATATCTGAGACCAAAACTGTTTTGAACATGTAAACAACAAAAATCACCATTTCAACAAGTGCTTCATCACCACTTTCTGAACTCGTTGAACAATAAAAGCAACAACATTTAAAATTTTTGCTCTAAAGCTCCAGTTCACCATCACATTCACGCTGCAGCAGGTCTCCTCACACGGCCGAGCTGCCGTCGTGGCCCAGAATGTGGCTGATGTTGTGAGCAGGACGATTCGGCTGCTTGCCCGAGTCGGCAGATGCGGTGTTAGAGAGAGACAGCAAGGGAGACATTGGCATCGCTGAGCCATCAGTGGGCATGCCGGTAGCGATTTCGGGAAACAGAGAGGTCAAGTTGAAGTTGGAGATGTGAGGGGTGATTCCAGACGAGTTGGCGATGGGCATCGGGGGCATTTCTGGAAGCAGCGGGAAGCTGGCCTGACCAAAACCCACAGGGCGTGGCGGGGACAGGATTGAGCCAAAGCGGTTGTTGAGTGGAGGAGCGCTCCCTTTGTCGGCACTCGGGCTCGTAAACATTTGGTTGGGAAAGTATTGGAGGGTGACATCACTGGAAAGGCTGGGGTGAGCAGCTGGAGAATAGGAAGGGTAGAAGGAGGTTAAAGTGTTCTGAGGCTCAACAGGGAGGAGGGACGGCGTACGGGAGGCGTTCGGCTGGCTCACTGGCGGGATGAACGTAGAGTTTGCATTGATGGGAGGTGGAGGATTCATCCCTCCCTCAGGAATAAAAGGGAAACCAAAGTTTTGTGTTAGGTGCTGATCAGGAACCAGGTTGTTGTCGCTAGGAACCTGAGCACTGTCTGACATGAAGCGCACAATGGCGCTACGCCGTGCCTCTCCTCCAGACTGCGGTCGGCTCAGCAGCACCCCACCTCCAGGGGGCAGAGGCAGATGGCCCTCAGGCTCAAACGGGTTGCTCGGTCTGAGCGTACCGGATCGAGGCCGGTCGCCAGGTCTCAGTTTGGTGGGCTGAGGATCTCTGGCAATGTGGCGAGAGTGTTGGCTAACAGCAGTGGGTGGACGGGAGGGGGCGGAGGAGCGGCCTGGCTCAGAGCTGCTGTGTGGGGGTGGAGGGTGAGGGAGTCCTGATCGCACACCTGGGCCTGGGTGCATGTTACTGCTGACCTGAGAAATGTGGCCCTTGTTTCCCTCTGTAAGTCGCATAGGCGGAGCCTTCTGGGTTTGGGGAACACTGGGACTGGAGGTCTTGGCCTGTATGTCTCCTGACGAGTTTCCAGGCACACAGCTGTACTCCATGCTGACCGGAGGACAGCACTGCACTGCTCGTTGGTGGTTGCTCTGCTCAGGAAGGTGGGGGGACAGGAGGCTTTGCATGAAACTCTGATGACATCCATCCTGTTCTCGAGGCAGTGCTGGTCCAACCTGGACCCCTTGTGAGCCAGGATGAGCTCCACTGTAGCCCCCACGATTTCGGCCATCTGTTGCAGGGCCCATCCTGAAACCTGGCTGTTGCTGCCCCTGAGGCCCCCTCTGGGAGGGAGGCACTGGTTTAGATGTCATGTCACTCCCACGAGATACCTGAGCCTCAAAACCACTGAGCTGATGTGCTCCTCCTGCACCCCCCATTGCCTTAAAGGGCGGACACTCTGAGACCCGCTGAACATCAGCGGACCCCAGATGGTCAGATGGCAGACGGCTCTGTGGGTTATGTGCAATGTTGGCCTTCCCTCTTGACGTGTCCAGATAACCACGGAGGTCTGGCTGCTCCTGAGCGCCACTGTGACCAGGCTGAAGGTGGAGACCGATGCGCTGCTGCTCGCCACTAGTGGAGCTTTTACCGATGAGCGCCTCAGCAGAGTAGCTGGACACACGGTGACGTTCCTGCCGAGATGGAGTGCAGGTCAAGTCAGACGACCGTGACACAGGATTGGCGGGAGGAGAAATGAGCTGCTGCTCCAGACTCCTAGAACTCATCATCCTCTGCATAGCATTATGGTCTTGACCAGACTGAGGGAGAAAAAGTGGAAATATTATCAGTAACACCCTCAAAATGAATCTTAACTATCATAAATCAATAAGAGCAATAAAAACAGATCAGAGTGGAGTCCAGTGGTGCCCCTTAGTAATATTTTATGCAGCTTGTGAGGGCAACAAACATAAAATGCACTACTGAACATTTTCATGTCATGTCACGCTACAATATATCAGCCCAAAAAATGAACAAGGGAGATATTTATTCAATTTCAACATCTGTTCTTCCCATCATAGCAGACCAAACCTTTCTAACATTAACAAATAAGGCTGCTGTCCAGAAATGCAGAAAACTCAATCAACTTAAAGAAATCTATCAAGAAATGAATTAATCACATAAAAGACTATCCTCTGAACTGACGCAAGTTGTGACGTTGTAATGTGATGTAATGTAGTGTGCCTTTTTCTTGCATGGCCCTCAATCATATGTTAAGTCCCAAAAGTGGCACTCTGTCATCAAAACTTTGAGAACCCCTGGTGTACAGTGTCATCCAACCACAAAGCATGTGTTAACATTTTTATCCTGACAGCTCTCAGATGTTCATGAATAGATGGTAGAAATTAAAACAAAACAAAACACAATGATTGAACTACATTTCAATTACAAACAATCTTAAATTTACACTCCTCTGTCTACACTGTGGCTGTAAGGGCAGAGCTGCTATTTCACTGCAAAGTCCCCCACACACTATAAAGTGTCAATACTGTGATTGTTTTCTTTTCATGATTTTTTTTTCTTTCTGTAAATGAGAGTTTCTCTGTGGTAGACTGTTGCAGCAGCCAGGTGTTTGTATAAAGGACACTTAGGTAGTTAGACAAAGTTACACTAACTTAAACTGTTTCAGATCTCTTGCACAGGAAAAAAAAGTCTCATGGGTAATACTTAGTAAATGGTACATGGAGAACAAAAAAATTCCACTGGACTGGTTTTCAAATATGCTTTATGCTAAAAATGCAACTGTCACTTTTTATATCACATGACACCAACCTTGAGGTGGTCC